CTTAAAAAAAAGTCAAAATTTATTTCAAACATAACTTTTTTAAACTAAGTTAAAATACTAAAAAAAAATAAAAAATAAGTTCATTCCAAACGATGGCTAAATCTATTGACCTTGTCTGGGAAGTAGACTATTTTAGTTAGCTATTTAATTTTTTTTAGCTATTTTAACCTGACTAAACTAGTTATGTTTGGGAAGATAGCTTTTTTTTTTTTAATTAATTTGATGGTTGTGAAAGAAAAAATAAAATAATTATGAATTAGAAGAGATATTTTGTCTTATTAATTATTTTAATTTATATTATTTTCATTGACTATTTTAACCCCAAAAAAAAAAAAAACTTACCAAACAAGCCATAATAATGAAAAGGTCTTGTGATGGTGGTTGCTGGGCCATGTTTACCTATTCAAATTCGAATAAGATTTTTTTATGTCTCATTTGTAAAAATAAATTGTTATATTATTTTTGTTTACTTTTTTATATGTTTCTTAAAAAGATATTTAAAAATTAATAAAATAAGTGGTTTCTAAATGAGGCCTTAGTGCCGGCGGCAAGGGGGGAAGGGAAAAACGACAATATGTTAGGGATTCGACGTCAACTCGGATGGTTGATTTGACTGATGGCCCAGGTTTCTATGAATCCACGTGAACTCGAAAGTAGAGCACGTGGCACACTGTCTTTGGGGGTTCGAACGCCTTTGGGCAAACCAAGCGTTAGAACTCGAGAGCAGCTTCAGCGTTAGAACGCCTTTTTTTTTAGGGTCACCATGATCCGGATTGATCCGAATTGATGGAAAATTAAAATTAATTTTTTGAAAAATTAAAATTAATTCCTTTTGTTTAAATCGTGCAATTAATCCGAATCAATCTATATAAATATAAATTGGATCGATTTAAGATTACAGATTCACATGATTAAATAATAAAAAATATATATATAGAATAATTTAATTTTATAAAAACATAAAACATAGTATCATATTAGTTTCACAATAACAACATGTCTTTCCATAATAGCGACATATTATTCTAGAATTTAAACGACCATAAGAAAACTGGTTTCACCATAAGTATTCAGATCATTACAAATTAAAACTAAAAACCAATAAACAAAAACAATAAAAGAAGATATTATGCTAGTTTAGGTTTGGGTTTAGGTTTTACATGAAATAAGAGAAGATACTATGCGAGAGGGTGTATAATATAAATATAAAATGCATATGGTCCGGATCGATTCCAATCCAGAACCGTGAGATTCAATCTAGAACCAATTCGTGGACTACAAATTTTTAATTTTTCAAACTGAAACCGAACCATGGATTAAAAAATCCAATCCAAACATACCGAATTGGATTGGACTTGATTGGATTACGAATTTCACGAATTCTTTACTCAGCCCTACTTTCTACACTTTTATATATGGTTGTAGATTTAAATTTGGAAGCTTTTTTGATAAATCATCTTTCTAAGAGTTTTATTCCATCCAACCCATTTTGTTTTTGACTATTCTATTAGGTTATATTTAAGGTGAGAAGACCAAAACACTCTCAATCCCTCCTACCCCTATTAATGTTGATTGTCATTATGTTTTGGTAGTTTTCTCATTCATCAAGATGTTGACTATCATTATATTCATATTAATTTAAAATGAATTTTTGTCATTGTGTTGTCAATTACATGATGTAAATATTCACATCATGTAATTGAAATGAATATTCACATTAATTTGAAATGAATTTTTGTCATTATGTTGTTAATTACATGATGTGAATATTGATACTAAAACATACGAATGTGAATGTTCACATCATTATGTCAGATGAGAAAGAATGTTCACATGATTACATATTGTGAATAAGAATGCGTTGTCAATTAAAAATATAATGAACGTTATTTTAATATGTTGTCAATTAAAAATAAGAAGGTTCACATATTGTGAACGTTCACATCACTACATTAGATAAGAGAGAATTTTTTGGAAAGGTGTTGGAAATGTTCACATCAGATGAGAGAAAATGTTCACATTATTTTTAATGTGTTGTCAATTAAAAATATATTCACATTATATAATAATATAAAATAATGACATCAATATTATTTAATTTGTGTATGAAATTTCCTATGCATTCATCATTTCCCTTATCTTCCCCGACATTAAATATCAATATTAAATATCAATATTAAATATAAGGGCATAAGAGTTTAAAAAAATAATATAAATCAAGAAAAAAAACTTTATAGAATAAAAGTATAAATAAATGAGACTAAGTGGGTTAAAAAATTTGTTCATAAACTTTTTAGGTTAGAACACTTCTAAATGAGATTTATCAACAAAAAGCCCTTTAAATTTAGATATAAAAAATGCATGTTTAATTGAATTTGAATTGAATTTTTTTTTATTTTTTTTTATTTTTAAATTGAATGGCTTAAAGATGTGATAGTGTTTATAAATGTGAAGTCTTACATATAGTTTTTATGCCACAAATTTAAGTGTGTATATTCACACTTACAATTTTACGCTTCTCAAAATTATATAAATTTTTTTATGTAATGTTAGGAATACAAATTTTGATAAAAAATTTAGGGTCTCTAATATTTTTATTTTTTTAATTATGAAAAATGTAAATAGTATTACATCTTTAAACCATTTAGGTCTTGTTTGGGAAGACTAAATAAGTCCATACTTTTTATCTTTTTTAAGTCACATCAATCAACATCTTCTCTTTATTTTTTTACACATTTTTTATAAAAAATCAAAAAGTACATTTATTTAGAACAACCCAAACAATCCCATAATTTCAAATAATCTTGCATACTTCTACACTATTAATTTCTTTGAATAACTTTTCAAATTGATTTTGTATTCTAAATTAGTGCCTTACTATCTGAATCATTTTTTTTTTCTCTTTAAATTAATGCCTTCCAATCTAAAGATTTTTCAAATTTTATGTCATTTATAATTTTTGAATTTTTAAATTTATTTGAGAATTCGTTTTTACACTGAATTATATCTATTTACATTATCATTTTGTATCAAGCAAGACTTGATGAGTTATAATAATTTTCATAATGAGACATAAGTTGTCTAAATGAAATCCTTAAACAAATATCCTCCAAAAAAAATTCGTAATGATATTTTGGATTGTTTTATGTATGCCTTATAATCTGATGTTTTTACTTATTATAAAAATACATATAAAAAACTAAAAAGATAATGTGATGAAAATGTATTAATATGCCAATAAATAACTTATTTGCTATATCCCAAAAGAACTCTTTTGAAAGGATTAAAAAAAAAAAAAAAGTAAATAAAAAAATCTGGCTTCCCTTTTTTTATAATTAGTTTACTAGGGCCTTGTTTGGCGAGCTGATTATTTGATCTTTTGACTATTTTAACCTGACTAAAATAATTGTATTTGGAAAGTTATTTGATTTTTTTAATCGATTTGATAGTTGTCAGAAAAAAATTAATAATAATAATTATAAGTTGGATATAACATTTTGATTTAATTCATAATGTGAAATTTAGCTAAAACTCTTTCATTGAACCCTTGTTTGGTAAAAAGAATAACCCAATTTATTTTGTTTCATAAACACCTTAAAGAAGAGGAGCATAACTAAGGCCAAGTTTGGCATATGAGAAATAATCCATCTTTTTATCTTTTTATCTTTTTTTCATCACATCACCTCTCTACTTTTCTGTACATCTTTTAGTAAAAAGACAAAAAGTATACTTATTTAGATCATCCCAAACAACTCTTAAGTAAAAACAAAGTAAAATATATATATTTTTTTCCTAGACAACATTATCAGAGCAACATGTTACTGTGAAACAGAATAATATGTTACTGTTTACATCAATTTCAACAGTAATGTTTTTTTTTTTTTTAAAGAATTTCATGGTCAACCTATATTTTATTTGATATTATTTGATAAATTAATCTTGATGAAAAAAATTTAAAAATATTAATTTGATTAAAAACTGACATCTAAATAAAAAATTATATTATTTTAAAAATTAAAATTTTAATAACAGGGATATGTATTAAACTTTTCAAAAAAAACTTTTTATATTTATCAGCAATAAATAAAAATTTTATTAGGAGCAAATTTTAATCAAACAACAATGCTACATACTACTAAATTCCTACCACTAACACCACCATTAATGATGTGGCAAGTAAAAAAAAAAAAATTAAGACACAAAACACATGTGACAATGAGTGAGACTCACAATCACATCCCTAATACAACCACTAATTAGTAGTCTGCATCATTTTTCTTTTAACCAAATCACCCATTAATTATTGGCTGCGTATCGGGTAGGTTAAGTTGATGCTGTGGACCAATGCACCCTCACGAGGTCCACATGATACAAGCAACAGTGTATATATATGCCTTGGGGGGAGGAGGGTTTGCTGTTTACTAGGCTAGCCAGTTTGTATCTATATTTTGTTATTACTATTTGGACCCCACGCGTCACATGATTGGTTGGAGCAATATGTTGAGGCATGAAGATATTATACAGGGTTGGTTTGGGAATTGGGATGATTTTTTGACTTTTTAATTTTTTTAGTTATTTTAGTCTGGATTAAAAAGTTTGGTTTGAGAAGTGCTTTTTGGATTTTTTAGCTTTTTTTGTGAGAGAAGAGTGTAATGATTATGGGTTGGATGTGATATTTTATTTTTTGCGCCTAAAATAATCTATTTTGTCTTTTGTGACTAAAATAGCCAAAAAAACCTACTTTAATTCTTCCCAAACGGTGCCTAAAGGAGTGAAAATGTACTCAATAAATCTTTGTACACACGTGTATGTCATATTTAAAAACAGTATTCTGTCAACTAATAAAAAATTAGAATGAAATTTGTAAACATTAACGTGACAAAAATATCTTATTTCAAATAGTAGAGAATATAGAATTTTATCATCTTTTCTTTTTCCTCTTTAAGCTCCAAATAAAATATGTTATGGAACCAAAATTTGGATGACGAATATTACCTGTGTTGTTTAAGAATTGGAGTCTTCCAACTGCTCCACCACAGTAGAGATATAATTCGAAAGTCTTTCAACAACATGGGTGATCCACAAGTAAAAATTGAACACATCACTATCAAAAACAAGTTCACAGAATCAATGTTGATTCATCCAATGATCAACATTTCTTTACCAAGTGAATCTGTTTGCTAAATTTTCCTCTTCCCCCCAAGCTTGTGCTTGATTTTTTAATCCTCGTCTCAGTTGAGGTGTCTTAGGATTGAGCAATATATACCTGTTGTCATTTGTCACTACAAAAGGTAAAATATTTAAAATGAAATTATATAGCACTACAAACAAAACATAAGAATCAATTAATAATTTCTTCATCGTAAACAATTAGATGAAATATTTCTCAAGTACAAATCAAATACAATGAATAGTTACAGACCAACAAATTTGCAATTAAGTATGGTTTTTGAGATTTGTAATTACAATTTTGAATGACATTATAAATCTCTGTACTTTGTTATTCGTTAGGTTTCATATTTGTTGGGTGGGTAATACAATACAAAGACGCCTCATCTCATCGTAAAGAGATAGAACAATAATGACCAAACCATCCCTTGAGACAATTATCAAAAATAACCTACTCATATAGATTCGTTGTTCGATAATCCACAATATTAGCCAACACATATATAAAAATATATATGATAGTAGAGGGGCGAGAAAGCAAGAAAGACATAGTTTTTTAGTCCATTAAGAAAGAGAAACATGAAAATGGGAAGAAAATAGATGAAGTAACAGATGAAACGAAATATTGCATTTGGGCCTTCCATTTTCGAATTAGTTTCTTTTTCTTTTCAATTGGGTTTGTGTTTAATTACATATGATTTCAATCAATTCACTATCTTCCCAGTTGAATTTTAATAACTTCTTAGTTGAGAAATTAGAGCACTAAAAATATTGTTTTTTTTTTAATTTTTTTAATTTTTTATTATTATTGTTATTATTTATTTATTTATTTTTTCCTTTTAGCTTATGTGTCCAAGAAATTTCATTAGCACCAAAAAGGAACACAGTACATGCAAATAAATTCTTCATACAAACAATTTTGATAATTTCATTCCATCATCTACAGGATTTTTGCTTCTTAAACTGGGTTGACGATATTTTTCGAAATGTCAATTCTTTTGACATTGTTTGATCTGTTTGACTTCAGACTCTTGTTGGGTATTATTTTTGTTTTCTGTTCTCTTTTTTAAAATAATACTTCAGTGTTTTGTTGTTTGTTGTATTAAAAATGAGGATTCAAGATCAATGTCGAATTGTTATTCTAGTAGATTGGATGTGGAAGTTTGCTTTTCAACAACCAAACATAAACATAAGCTATGCAACACTCATGAAATTATCAGTTTAATCTTAACCCCTATAACAATGTCATAGGAAGTGCTACTATATACTGCTGAAACGGGCATGTAGTATACAACTAAAATTTGAGTCACAATGATTTATTACTTTCATCAATTTTTGGGTGGGTGGGTAACTTTCATCAATTTAGGTCATAAAAAAATAAAATTAGTTTGTAACAAAAACACCACCAACGCTTTATGACCAACACTACTTCAGTTCACAAAGAAACACCACAATCTCATAATCAATGTCATTTCAATTCATAAACAAATACCACAAAGTCTCATAACCAAAACCAATATAAGTCATAACCAAGAACACTACGAAAATTTCTTCTTGTATTCTTAGATCAATTTTTCAACACTAAAGGATACAGGTCTAAAGATGCCAATGCTAATTACTTAAAATGACAATTACTATCCTTAAAGAGATTCTTACGTCTACACTAATTTATAAGTTTAATTTTATTTACCCACCTTTAAATAATACCCTCACTTTTAATTGGTTAAAAGAATGGTTTTGTTGTATAATTTTTTTGGGTGCAGTTTTCTATGGCAAAGTGTTAAAAAGTTTTCTTCTTTAATTTGCTTTGTCAGCAAAAATGGAATGAGCTGGTTGATCAAACCAGAATTATTCAAAGTTTTTGTCTTCCCTTTTTAATCATTTTAATCTTTCTCACTATCCTACTTTTGTTCCTACTATTTGGTCCTTTATTACTTGTCACAGAATTTCACTATGATTAAAGACATCAATTTAGATAAATCACATGTGTGTGAAACTTATCCTCAAGATCCTAACATAACTTTTTTTTCCACAATAATGTATTACACTTTCAACACAAACCAGACAAGTGGTGGTGGTGGTGCAGGTTCTGTGTGTCTTTTATTTGAGCATATGGTCGAGCACATGGTGGGCAAAAATAAGTTAGAAATTAATAAGATGCTGAAGCATCATGCAAAAGAACTTGTTCAAATTCAAGTAAGAAAAAACTCACCGGCCATATTCCATAACCTCTTTGACTGATGATGATGAGTCGGTTACGTGGCACACCATCAATGCTGCCAGTTGTCTTTCGTGAGACCACGTGGCCATATGGCTTCAGACTTGCAAGCCCATATGGCTTCAGACTTGCAAAACCAACAATCAACAATGATTCATCCCTCCTTTTCCTCCCACCCCCTTTGACTCCCTTTCTCTCTCATTGGTTACATTTTCTTTTTCTTTTTCTTTTTTTTTCCTGCTCCTCCAATCACCACCCGTCACGTGGCAAAGGGGTGACCCCCAAAAGGGGGTCCCAAGCATTATTCAACCAACGATGGCGGTGGGTGAATCAGGTAATTTGAGAGAGTTTTGAGGATACTTTAGTCATATGGTTTTCACGCTTTTAATATTTAGTTATAGATATATATTATAGACCTTCTCATCATATCTTTAACTAACAATGGTAGAGAATTTTAAATTTTGAATTTTAAAGAGAGTGCAGAGTGTTTTAATGATGTGACAAAGGTTAAAAAAAAAAAAAAAAAAAAACACCAAAACATTACATCAATGGAGTGAATGCCCACCTCTAGAGCTCCTTTAAAGCTCATGTTTTATAAAACATTTTTGATCTTTTAACCATAGAGGAATCACAAAATTAAAAATATAAGTTTAAATTGATTCAATTAAAATTTTAAGTATTAAAATAAAATTTCATACAAATTAAAACAGACCGACTAATAGTGTAATTTAGATCATCTCTATTTAAATCTTCAAAAAAAATTATGTTAATTTTTTTTTGAAGATTTAACTGTCAAATTGACTTGACATATCTAAAAAACAATACTCCATCTGATATGTCAAACTTATTTTTTTATTGCATTACTTTTAATTGTTTTTATTTTAATTTTTTTAAACTCTTTTATTGGTCCTCACTATTAAAATAATGAAAACAAAAGTATTTGACATCTTCTTTTTGCTATGGCAAATTTCACATTGGTAAGACATGTCAAATTGACACCTCACATTTAGAGATTCAGGTGAAACATAATTGGATGTCAAATTTTGTTGTCAAAAATGCCACCTCACCTTTGTCGTATCGGGTGGAAATGCTCTACAAAACAATAATTAAAAGAGAAATAATTTTTGTAAGAAAGTAATAACTACTGCACATCGAATGTAATTATATGATATAAAATACTATAATAAAATATTTGATTAGGATATATAAGTCTAGAAACTGAATAAAAAATAATTTAAAAATTAAATTTTGTGTTTTATTTTCATTAGAATATTTCAATACGAGTGTAGACACTCCATTTTGACCGGTCCTAAGACTTGAACACTTTCTTTTGATTACCCGATGATGACAATTAGAATGTGTTTCTCACAAAATTCTCAGTAAGAAAGATGGAATTTAAGTTTTAATCCGAACCTTCACCCATTTTTTGGCCAAACTATTTTAGACCTTAAAACTCTCTTTTCAAAATATGTTTTTTTAAATGTTTCTACGATGTCCCGAGGCTCCTATTTCGATTAAAATATTGCAGTTTTCAGTAAACTGAGTAAGGACAAAGTGAAAATAAATGGAAGGGAGGTGAACTTTTTGAAAAATATTTAAAAATATCGTCTTTATAGATTTGGAGTTGAAGGAAATAGGAGGAGATGAAAGAAAACTGGTTTAGGAAAAGAATGAGTATCAAATCATTAAGAAGGAAATAAGCAGCCTTCACTAAATTAGGCATTTCTCTTTGTACACTTGGAATTTAAATGTGAGGCAACCACCATTGGAAAGTAGACTTCTGGGGCTTCAATTTAGACCCAAGAACCACCTTAGACCAAGTCAAATAAGGGAGATATGGCCATTTGAAGTTGAGCTTAAGAGCAGATTTTGTTGACCCAGCCCGAGACAGCCTTCACTAAATTAGACATATCTCTTTGTACACTTGGAATTTAAATTTGAGGCTACTACCATTGGAAAGTAGACTTTTGGGGCTTCAATTTGGACCAAAAAACTGCCTAAAACCAAGTCCATATGGGGGAGATATGCCCATTTGAAATTTGGCTTAAAAGCAGATTTTGTTGATTCGACCCAAAATAGCAATAGCCCATTTTTCTTGATTTTGGTTCGGTTGGGACAACCCATTTACCTATTTTTTGAGCCATTCAAGTGCATCCACTCATCCTCCATTATACCTAATCATCCTCCATTGTCAAAAAGAGGTTTTGTTTGCATCCATAAAGGAGTATCCCATGCAACCACCTTGAAAATTTGCCCTCCTATCACATTCTTGTCTCCCACCTTCTTTTTGACCTTTACTCTCCCTCATTGCCTATATAGAATGATCATATTGTAAGAGAGGAGGAGGACCACGAAATTGAAGAGAAAGGAGTGAGAAAAGAGTGAAAAAAGAGAGAAAATTTGAGTTTTTGAGCCAAAAATATTCATATCTTCCATGTACACCCCATACCTTCCATACCTACTGAAATTCCTCATTTCCATACACCAAAACTACTCCAAAAATTTTGATATAGCCAAAGATCAATTGCCTCGATCGCAAGGAAGAATGTTTAGTGATTGAAAGTGAGAAAAATTAGAGAGTTAGCCACTTTCCATACCACAAACTCCATAATTTCGAATTGAGGATTTGAGAACACACTTCCTACACTTGAGGGTGATCAAGAGGAAGTTTGGAAATCAAGAAGTTCAATCTTTCTTTGGAAGGTGAATTTTTAATCTTTCATTTTCTTATATTTTATATCTTATATTTATTTTCTTGCTTCTTATTTCATTGTGTTTTGTTATAATCCAAGTGGTTTATTTATCTCATATTTATTTTCTTACTTTATATTTCATAGTGTGTTGTTATAATCCTAGTGGTTTGTTTAGCTCATAATTATTTTTTTTTTTTTATTCGTATACTTTAATTTCATATTAGTTTTGTTGTAATCTTGCATGTTTTACCTCATATTTATTTTTTTCGTGTATTAGTCTCATATTAGTTCTGTTGTAATTTTGCATGTTCTATCTTATATTTGTTTTATTGCTTTAGGTTAATGTTGTGAGTTTGCACTTTTTTTTATTTTATTTTATATTTATTTTCTTTTTTGTTAATCAAACCGGTAGTGGTTAGTTGAGCCACCTACATATTTTTTGTTTGTTCCTTTTCTTGGTTTCGCAACAAGACAGGTTTTGCTTGGCCTAGTTCGCCGGCTGGCCTATTTGGCCGGTCGGTTAGCTTCTTCCGAACAAGATGGCGTAATCTCCCAATATTGACCAATTTTCGCCGACAGTTCTAAAGAACATGAAGCTTTTATTGTATTTATTTATTTTATTTTGAGTGTATTGTGAGGTTTTTATTTTGTTGTAATATTCTCCTCATCCCTCTCTAATTTGGTTTGTAATTATTCTTTAAAATGTTGTAATAATTCCTCGCCCCCGCTTCTTTCTATCCCGTTCTTTCACTTGCTTTCTTTATTTGTACATAAACATCATAGTTATTTTTCATCATAGTTATGCTTTGCATCCATGTTTCATGCATCTTGATTCGGCTAAGTTTGCATTTGTGGATTTAATCAATTCCTATGTGATTATGTGCGCTACCTCATGTTCTTGAGATGATTCACATATCATATTTTAGAAGCCGAATCTTTAGTTGCATCTCATGAGTGAATTGCATTAGGGTTTTGTATATAAGATCATGTATATTTTACTAACTTTGTTTTGCAGCTTGTTCGTGGGACGTCAAACATGTGAGTTTTTATGTTTTAACATCCCGTGCGTGTGTGTTTTTCTTACTATGTCTAGCATTCTACCATGAGGCTAGTTGCTTATGTGATATAACTCTATGAATGCCAGTGGATGGAGGTTGTGTCGCTTAATTTGGAATGATGTTGATTTTCCATGCTTGTAAACTCAATTTATTTGGGTTGTACATCGTCAAAACTCTTTCAAAATGCATGATATCAAATTGTTCCAAAATGAATGGCATAGTCTATACTTGTATGCTTCCCATAGTAAATTTTAGGATTTATTAACTAATCAGAACATGAACATATAAATAAAATAAAATTCATATCATGGTTAGTAAAGGTCGATCTTTGATCGGGTGGGCGGGGGTGCTCATTATTGACCCTCCCCTCTGATACCTAAGGTTCCGAGCCAAGCATCCATGGTTACGACGAACAGTGGCCTTGGCACGAGTCATGGATTTCCTAATTTTTCCAAAATAAATATTAGGTGGCGACTCTGAGATCTGATGACGTAGTTCATTTTTGACAAAATTGCAATAAAATGGATTTTCAATAAAAGTTGCCAAATCTGGACTCTCATCTATATTTCACATTGCACTCGTGAGAATAGATCAAAGAGATCTCGGGGGTCCGAACTGTTTAACGCGCGCGGGTACCCCTCGGGCATGTTACAACGAGATAGAAGAGGAAGGTACCCATACCAATAAAAAAAACTAAGGCAGAATTACTATAGGGCATCTTTTAAAAATAGTTTTAAATTAATGATAAAATTAAAAAATATTAATAGCATTATTCATTTTATAAACATCTAATCGATGTGTACTGTGGAGACGTGATCCGGAAATACTCTTAAATCTTGAAGGACGCTCCTGATCCTCTGAATGCCACCTGAAAAAGGAATTAACACTCCGGTCGGGGGTGCCGGAATTGGCATTCCGACGGACAAGTTAGTATATGTCTCTCGTTTACTTATGTTTTAAGTTTCTTAGGTTCTTTTCTCACATACCTTTCTTTGACTGATGTTCTTCTATTTATATCTTCTTTTGGGCCCCATGGTCGGGCCCACTCTTAATCTATTGCACGTTTATTTATTCGGCTTTTGTTCAACTAGTTCTACGGCCGATTAATTTATTCGGCTTTGGGATCGCCCAGGACGGAGCCGAATACAATATTTATCCTGATTATCCTCAGGGCTGTTATTCGGCCTTCTCGCATGTACATCAACATTATCCGGCGCTCACAATTGCCCTCCAAACATCCTATTAACACTAGTTAGATGACATGTTTGGTTTCGAACGGCATGTTTGTTTTCGAACTTGAAAAGTAAAAAAAAAAATGGCAGTTAGCCTCATTCCAACGTATGTCAGTACACACACTTTTTAGGCACCATTACATCTTCTCGCCCCTTCGTACGCTTCCTCCATTTTTCCATCCCCGACGATGTCCATCTGTGACTCGTGGTAGACAACACCCTTGATATAGAGAGGACTGATGAAAGTACAATCATCTTTCCTCTCCTATCAATTGCTGAGGGTGGAGTCCATTTCCCCTATCACCCATTTCTTAGGACCGTCCTTCGCCATTGGGGTCTAATTCCTTCTCAACCTAATGTAAATTTTTTCCGAATCATAATGTGGATTATAGAGTTGAACCGACGCCTTAGGATCAATCTTGGCATACCTGCTATTTGGCATTGTTATGCCTTGGCCAAATCTTCTGGCTGACAGGGGCGCTATTTTCTCAGGGCCAAAGACACCGATCATCACTTGGTGACTATGCTTGCCAATTCT